GACATACTACTCCCTGCAGTATCTGTTCTGTTTCTGAATCAAGGCTTTTTCTTGAGCTCAGTATTTTCGCTACATTTTCCTTGCTATGCAATCATCTCCCAGTTGGACAATTAATAAGTGCTTTTTCTCCACAGCCCTTGGCATGTAACCTCGCTTACCCTGTATTTTAGCATGCACTATATACCTTCTTCACTCTGACTGGTTTTGGCAGTGACCCACAATCTAAATCTCTTTCCTCCATTTGATATAAGTGAAACTATAATTATCTAGGGGTAATTTCAAATTACTACTTCATTCCACTAGCAACTGATGAAGATTAGTGGTCTTGCCTTGCATCTGAGTAGGTCAGCAACATAATCACAAGAGAACTCAGCAGGCAACATTTGATTCATGTGAACTCAATTACTTCTGTCAAACACATTCACTTCAATAAAAAGCAAAAACTTCCAAAATGGGTTTTTGCTAATAATTTTGTACTCAAAAAAAATATCATATGACTCTTAAGGGAAAAAAATACCATGGATTTCATCAGAAATAATAATAAATAACAAGTAGGAAAACATATTTGTATAAATGGATTTAATACATTATTAGTTTCTGAAAATAAAAATATTTCAAAGAAATAAATTTGTATACTTAAAATAGTTTATTATTGAAAATTTGGGCATATAAGTAAGCCATAGAAAAATAAATGCATTCTATAATTTAATACAATAGAAACCAGAGTATTCTGTTACCTCATTAAAACCAGGTTATTATGGAAAAGGTAGTCAATTTCTCTTAAAGGAAGTAAAATAAGGGGACATGAAGATGATAGATCATGAATTGCTAAATGGACAAGAATTCCTGAATCACTTCTTGATTGTCTTCTGGGTTGAAGCCATATGTTAATGAGCTGCCTAGCATTCTGAATCCTGAATGTTTAGTCTCTAAAAGACCTTGGGTCAACTCCATGATGCATGTATATCAGGTCACATGAGCATGATCTGACAGCAACTACCTGGTGAAATCCTGGTAGAGACTTAGTAAATATTAACATATGATAATCATTACAACAGATTTACTCAAACTTCAGCTTCTTTATATAGTCATAACCTTAATTAAATCCCAACATATTTTGATTATCAAAGAAACAGTAATTAAATGTAAATGTGTAATAAGTGTATATTATAAATACATTTCAGGATGTGATGTTCTGAGGTCTAAATCACTAAGACGGTCTCCATAACAGTTAATACCTCATACTCCAACCATATATGGTTTAACACAAAGAACTTGAAAATTCGGCCTGAGAATTTTAAGACTAAGAAATTACTGGTTTAAGAGACACATTTGTCAATTTTGTGACCAAAGAGACTTTCTACAGATGATTTTAAAGGTAAAAAAGAAATCAATATAGTAGCTTTCCCTTATCCACGCTTTTGTTTTTGGTGGTTTCAGTTACCTGCAGTCAACTGCACAAAAGAGACAGATGATCCTCCTGCCATATTGTCAGAAGGTCAATAGTAGCCAAATGATACATCACAGTGCCTATGTCATTCCCCTCACTTCATCTCATCATGTAGATGTGCTATAACTTCATATTATTATAAGAAGGGTGAGCACAATACAAGATATTTTGAGGGAGAGTGAGAGACCTCATTCACATAACTTTTATTACAGTCTAGAATAGTTACATTTTATTATTTGTTGTTGTTAATTTCTTACTATACCTCATTTATACGTCAGACTGTCTCATAGGAAAAAGCATAGTATATAATAGAGTTTAGTACTACGTACAATTTCAGGCATCCCTGGGGGTTTTGTAATGTAACCCTCTCAGATAAGGAAGGACTACTGCAATTTTAAAGCACAATATTCTTTTATAGTTTTACCCATTCTACTCTCTCTTTTGATTCATTTCCCTACTTCTTGCCTTTTCATTTGTTGCTCATTCCTTAAGATAACATTCACCACCATCAAGGAGCGTGTGAGCTAGTGGGGGTGAAAAGAGTCATTAATTAAATAATAAATCAACAAAAAGATGCAAAATCTTAACTCTAACTGGCTCTACTAAGGGAAGATATATAGGTAAATAATAGAGAGGCCTGATCTTGAAGACTCAGCAATAGCTTCTCCGAGGAAGGGGTGCTAGATGATAGATCTGAAGGATCAGTGTGAGTTAATCAGGCATGAAGTAAGTAGAAAAATGTTTCAGGGCAAGGGAACAGAATCTCATAACACGTAGTAAAAGTGAGCTTTTGAGAAAGTGAAAGAAAGCCAGTGTGACTAGTGCACAGAGAAGAAGAAGCATAGTTTAAGATGTGTCTGGAGCCAAATCATGCAGAATCTTAAGCTACTGTAAAAACTTTATCTTAAAGGAAACAACTGAAGTATTTAAAGTTTGTGGTGGGGGTGAATGGGGACAGAGAAGGATGGGTGTGTGAAACAATGAGATTTGCATTTTTGTAAAGGCAATACATTCACATGACTCAAAAATCAAAATATTATTATATAAAGTCATTCATTATATTGGAAAGTAAAGTTCCAACAAGACATGCCTATAGATTGGAGGAAAAGAAATAGAGAAAAGTGGATGAGTTTAAGAGACAGCCTGGTTGTAATTTCTACAAATATTTTGTGATGGGTAGGAACCAGATAGTGAGTAGGAAGGAGATGTTAAAAATGATTCCTAGATTTCCGGCCTACCAAGAATAGTTCGAAAACATCAAGATCCACACTTAATGGTTTGGGGATAGCATGTTAAGACCATAGAATGATTTAAAGTTATGGTGGAATTTTATATGACACGCACAGATACATTTACACTTGCATATTCATATTATGTGTAGATATAAATGCCTCAGGAATATCTGCGATACCTTAATTGTCCAATTAAAATAAACCTTCAATATTTATTTATTCATTCAATGACAGAAGTTATTTATAGAATAAATATTTGAAATTCCTCATAGAGTGGCCACATACCATCTGTATTTTGGGGGGGGGAGGCACCATTCATATGGTCTACATTGTGTAGAACGCCCTCTGGGGCTGTGTAGTTCACAGCCTTCATGACCCCACAACCTTTATTCCTACTACCAGGATTGGGTAATAAATGAATTTAGATAGTCCAGCTTAGTAAAGTTTTCTACAATGCAGGCTCTCTAGTTCACCCCACTGTCTCTCAATTAGGTTTCTACTGCTCAATTATTAAAAGTATGAGAAGAGAAAGATATGCACCGAGTGCCTGGACTAAGGAACATTCTGTCAGAACACTACTTCCCCAAGATACTTTCATGATAAGTATGCACAGAACCTTTTAATCCCAGCAACAAACAAAAATTATCCTCTATAAATGCAGAGGTCTTTTATACCCTCTGTCCATTTGGATGAAGACAAAGGTAATTTGTGTTCTGACCTAAAGTGACCACATACCATTCTCTTAAGTGACATAAATAATCAAGTAGAGCATTTGATTTATAGTTCTAGTAAGCAAAATTTTAGAAATAGTAAATTTATACTGTAAATATTTTAGACAAAATAATGAAATGTATTCAACAGATTATATTTAATCTCCTGCTTCTGATTCTACAATTACACATATCTTCACCTTACACTAAAAGGACTATTCAAGAAGAAAAGTTAAAATAATGTTAGTTAGAATTTTCCTTTAAATCCAATCCCAAATAAAAAATAATTCATTTCCCTGAAAAGTTTAAAATTATTTGCAAAACACAATTTTGATTTAATAGAACTGCATATATATGTATATACATACACAAAGGTATCGGGAGTTGTAGACTACATAAAAACCATAAACTTAATTGTAGATGATATTGTAGGAATACAAAATAAGAGCTGATGCTAAAAAAGAATTTTAAAGATGGTGCAATGTGTTTCTAGAGAGAAATAATTAAACAAAGTTACCATTATTTACCAATCATTTCCCTAGTTTTGATTCCCTGGATCTATAATCAATTTACAGTCAGGCCTGAACAAACCTGAGCAAGTTTAATTCACATAATATAATGGATTTAGAAAAAAAATGCACCTGAAGCTACCAGGTGGTTATTAGGGGACTTTTCAGTACTTAGTTTTCTCTTCAGTTAACAGTAACTCTCATTACCTATTTTGCATGTGCACAGCATGGTGAAAACAAGTTCAGGTTCATAAGGATGAATGATTTTTTAAGTAAAAATGTTTTCTTCCTCATAAGCTGTTCTTCACTCTAACATAAAGTATCAACCTATTCCAAAAAGCCATGGTTAAATATGTAGGTTTAACTCGCCACACTGTGGGCAAAATGAAGGTATTTTCAATTGAAGAGGGAAATACACATGATCAAGTTTCAATTTAAAAGAAAAATTAAAACAGAAAAAAATCCCCAAGTGTATATTGCTTTGAAATAAATTTTTTTGTATTGGCTCTATCTCCAAAGTTATTTTCTTGGGTACTACTTATTATGCATTCAATATTGACTGGTAAATTTTTAAAAGCAAACATGTAACAGCAATTATATGTAAATAACACAGTGAACTAAGTACTGTCAGCTGACAAGTATTTTCATACGGAGTTCATATGGTTGAACTTATTTTAAAGGCAGTTAAAAGCATGCCAAACAAGTCTCATCTAACATTTGCATTTGAATTTTATATAGCAAGGTAAGGGTACTATTTTCTCTTCATGGAGAGAAAATAGCAGTAGAGTAGCAGAAAATAGAAAAAAATTCTTTGGTTTGAGTTGCTCAAAAATAAAATTTCTGAAAGCAAAATGAATATGAAATACTACACTGCAAGTAAGACACTGAGTATTAATTATGCATATCCAGTAAAATATTACATTAAATCTTTGATCGTTGCCAGAAATTTTATAATTCTGAGACAAATCAAACTTGAAGAGAAATAGTCTCCATAAATTAGCAAAGTAAAAGGTCATCTGCTCATAATCATTGGAGGAAATACATATACATGATCCAACCGAAGTGGACAGCTCCTGCAGGTCTGCAGGCGAATTCTTACCTTGACAGGTGCCATTTTTCTCTTCATATCCTGCCTTGCACATGCATTTCCCGATGGGCACCAGCCACTCCCCTTCAGCACTGCAGTGCATTTTGGGTGGTTCATCTGTCACAGAATGGTTGACACAGGAGCCCGACACTTCAAGCAATTGAGAAGAATCAGCTCCAGTGATTGTGTCGGGGAACACAGCCAAGTGTCTTACCACAGAAGGGCATTTTTTATAGTACACACGCACAGAAACCAAAGCAATGCAAGCACCCACATCTTGAAAAGCAAGATAAAATCCCTTTTTGCTGAGAGGTCCTACATCTCTGACCTCTGTATTCAGTTTCATAACCCGGTCACCAAGATCAAGCTCTGTAAAACTTTCATCGGCAGCAATGGTATCAATCTTGATGTACTGGTTTTCCTTGATGTTTCTCCCATTCTCATCATCTGATTCAAAGTAATACATGTTAAAGGTTTCCTTACAGGTTCCCAGTCCTCCAGGAAGACTGTTGCAGTCCCGCAGAGTAAACTTGAGTTCTATAAAGATTCTGGAAGCACCTTCGTTGGAAATCCAACTGGTCAAAAGCCAGTTATTCTGATTCTGTTCCATAACTTTGCATACTTGGTATGTGTGGATAGGGGCATAATTTTCATCAACTTCACCAATCTCTTCCCACTGTATAAATAGAAAGATAATTCTTTATTTAGAAAATAACTAGCAAAAATTATCAAAGAAATCTATTTCAGACATAGAAATTTCTGCAGCCTTAATCTATGTTATTGGGAGAAGGAGCAGTACAATGACAATTTTAAAAAAAAAATACCTTTTTAAATTAAGTAAATTAATAGAACATCATTCATTGTCTCCACTAACTCAAAAGTTAACACAAATGAATTTGATGGGGGAAAAAAGCATGTATTTCAGAGATAAGGTAGAAGTAAATTGAATATGGGTGCATTTAACAAGAAGGAGCAGTGGAAGGAAATTATATTTGGAAGAAAGTTAAGTATGTAAACTAACAGAGTAGATGAAGTGTGACAGAAAAAAGGAAGTACTTTTTTTTTTAAAGACAACAGTGGAAAAAAAGCAGTAAATGTGAAAAAGAAGGGAGAAAAATGTAACACGTGAATCCACACTTATTTAATTCTGGCATGTTATAAATAACACACCAATGTAATAATACTTGCAAGAAAATTCATTAGTTTAAAATTAATAGTATGCTTATTTCATTGACCCAATCTGCTTAAGATTCTTTTGCAAATTTGATAGCTAAATGTTTATTCATAGGTTTATCTATGAAACATATACCTAGAGACAGATATAAAATAGAGATAAAAATTATATATGAATAGCTTTGCCATTTTGAATTCTGAGTTTTTGGTATATCCTGGGAATGCATTAATTATTTTTACCAACCCATTATTTCATGCATAATGACCTTAAGAGTTCTGAATATATATATATATATATTTTAAATCTCTTTGATTTAATATTTTGGAAGCTATAAGTATGATTTATATAGCTTCCAAAATATTAGGTCAAAGAGATCTAAACTTATCTCTTTCCCAATAAAATATTCCAGTTTTAAGACTTTTGATGTACCATAATCACTTTCTTAACAGTATAGAACCAAATTTTTATTCTCCATAAAGACATTATTATTATAATTTAAGAAGTTTTTTAAAGAATCTGTGTGTACAAAACTATATATATTTTTTGTTTTAAATCTTTAAAAATGACCATGAAACACAAAAAGCAATGAAATCATACTGACTTCCAATAAATCCAAAATGTGATTTCAGACATTAAATATTATAGATAATAAACTTCATAGAACTTCATCTCTTTAGACACAAAATTAAATAGAGCATTATTTCTTGATTCTGTCCAACTGACAAAGATGTGAAAAATGTGGAGTCACAAGGGACGCACGTAAAATCGTGTACCTCAGATGGTCCCTCTCAAAATTCTAGCTGCCATCAGACAGACATAAGTAAAAGGTGCTAATGAAGGAAAACTGCTGAGCTCCTTAAATTCACAAGAGAGAGACATCAAGATTTTATCTTAACCACTTTCACATCATGGTGTTATGTGAAGCCTTAGTTCTTTCATTTAATCTCACTTTTGTCTTCTCTCAAAAATGTACATAAACTCTACTTAGCCTCAGATTTCCAAAACAGCTTTCTATCTCAGCTGTCTGTCACTAAACTATTTACACTGTCTTGCTGGAGTGATCCAGCTATCAATCTCTTTATTATAAATGGTTACTGAATGCCATTATTAACATTTCATGCAAAAGAACACCTCAACTACCCAAATGAGAGTCATACAAATGATCAGATACATGTTAAATTAAATATATATTTTTGAATTAGTAAAATGGAAATAGCATCAAAAAAATTCTTCTCTAAAAAAAGAAAATCAAGATGTTACATTATCTCTGCTTTAGACTTATTTTATAAGTCTTCCAATACAAAACACAAACAGATTTCAAATCCTTGACCTTAAATTGTTTATTAAAAAAAACTATCTCTGCATCATAATTCCAATAGGACATTGCTAGCAAGTAAGAGGAACTGGACAAGTAAAAGGAATCAGAGCAACATCTTCCAAGAAGATTATAAGGCAAGCAATTCACAGTCTTTGTCTGTACAAAATCCAAGGTACAACAAATATTATTAAAAATGCAAGCCAAACAGCACTTGACAAGACAGCTTAATAGTTACTGCTTCAGGTGATAATTTCAAAGTATGTTCATAAGCATCTTACTTCTCTGAATATTCTCAATTAAGATGAGAAAAACTGTAATTTTCGTTGATGTTAGAATCTATAATGGTGGAATTTATTTATTTTTCTTTTCAAGTGTCCAAAATATAAATGAAGGTTCACATTTTCTATTTTTAATGCGTGAACAGAAATACTTTAATTTAAATAATTATAGCCATAAGCCATTCAGAAAATCAACTAGGTAATACATACACATGAATATCTGCTACTATGTGGATGAATAGGCTAATAAATAAACAAAAAAATTTTCATTTATTTTGTATTGACTAGTTGAACTAAAACTTCAAATTCTTCCAAGTTTTCTTCCTTTTTAATACAGAGTGGGCATCTTGTTGCCTTCAGCAAAGATTATACTGATGAAAAAGAAACAAAGGGGATGAAAAGAAAGTAACACTCACCAAGAACTTAAGAATGTGGCAGGTATATTCCTAGACATTTTTGCAAATATCATGTCAAGGAAATTATAGCAGTTTAATGAAGGCACAGATAGAAAACACAATACTTTTGGTTCAGTTTTGTTGGATTTCCTATGACCCCATGGTTTAATAAAAGTATTTGCTGTTCCTTGGTTACTACAAGCAATGTGCCTGGACTTTTTGGAAATGTGGTCACCGAATACAATAGTATTCAAATGGTAGTGTGCTCTTTTCTTGAAGTCTAGCAACTCCTCAAGGCCCACCCTCTGAGCCCATGCTTTTCTCTACATGTTTCCTCGTTACTCCTATTTCTTTAAGATTAAAGAACTGGTTTTACACAGTCAGCTTGGGCTGGCTTGATTTCTTTCCCAGATGCTTGAGGTTGCTCCTTTTCCTGCTGGGCCCTGAAAACTCCAAGTTGTATTCGAATCCTATGCCTGATCAGGCATCGCAAGCCAGCCACAGTCATCAGAACAGCGGCAAACAAAAAGGACTTATTTTCATAAACATCCAAAAGTTAGGGTTATCAACTTTTCCTACCCAAACCAGAACTACCCATAACTCAAACACTTTATTATAGTCATTTAATGTCCCGTATAAATATTAGAAGGGATCTTAAAAGATCTGGCCCTACCGTTCATATTAGAAATGAGGAAATTGAAGACCGAACAAAAGGAAAGATTTTCCCAAGCTCACAGATAACAACCCTTTCCATCTGAGCATTCCATCTGCCTGTGTCTACCTCTGTCTTCTTGTTGGCACATCTCTGTTCTTGATGTGTGTATTTGTGTGCAGGATTCCTGAGTCACTGCCATCAATTGCTAGCCGACTCTGTCAAAACAAATTCACATTTTTTTTCGGCATCATCTAGCTGTAAACCTTTCTTCTTTATCTCTTTTCCTTTCTTCTTTCCTTCATTCCTAATGTCCTTCCTTGCTTCCTTCCTTCTTTCCTTCCTTTCTCCTTCCCTCCCATCTCTTTCTCTCTCTATGTATATACATACATACACACACAGACACACACACATATATATAACATATATATGTATTAATACTCTGAAATACAGAGTATTGATACAGTAGAGACATGGTTGCCTTATTCCCTACTGTATCTCAGAGTCTGACACCACAGGGCACAGATTAAAGTACTTGATAATTTTTTTTAAAGATTTTATCTATTTGACAGAGAGAGCAAAAGCAGAGGGAGAGAGAGGGAGAAGCAGGTTCCCTGCTGAGCAAGGAGCCCGATGTGGGACTCGATTCCAGGACCCCGGGATCATGACCCAGGCCAAAAGCAACCGCTTAACCGACTGAGCGACCCAGGCATCCCAGTACTTGATAAATATTTTATATGAATGAATATCAAATATATATACATTCCTCCTTAGTCCAGAGATCTGCTAATTCAAAATATACAATAATTCAAACATGGTAAATTAAGATTGTATGATTTGTCTTTCATGTTTGTTCACACAAAGACAAATTTTGTTCTGTGTAAATTGTCTGAATTTTATAAATTTTAAAAGGAGAGTTTATAAATTCATGGGTTTTTTTTTGAAAATTATTCTTCAGTAAAAAGCTGTAAGCATTTAAGACATTTTCTTTTTTTTATTTTATTATTATTATGTTAATCACCATACACAACATCATTAGTTTTTGATGTAGTGTTCCATGATTCATTGTTTGCATATAACACCCAGTGCTCAATTCAGTATGTGCCCTGGTGATGGCTATTAAGGCATTTTCTTTAGTTCACTAATCCATACAATTATTTGGAGTTCAGTTTTGTGTATTAACCTAAAGAACTAATTTTCATTAACATTACATTTTAACAATTTTAACTTACAGCTTAGTTTAAGGGTTATTTTTGACCATATGTTTAAAAATACTGTTATCACTTTTTATTCACTAATCTTCTTCACTATTCTGTACAGATTAAAAGCTCAGAATATAGCATATGAGCTAGCGGCACTATACTTTATTTCATATTTCAGTCAAACAATATTTTCTTAACAATTTTCTTTGGCAGAGTGATATAAAAATATAGCTAAGAATCAATTGCTTTTAGTCTGACATGCCCAAAGCATAATTTTGTAGCAAGACCTTGTTTACCACATCAATGCTTCTTTGAATATAGGGATAACTGCCAATTATCCTTTAATATCACAATATTTTGCATAATACCTTTTGAAATGCTCCAGAAAGAAATTAATTCCAGGTTTCCCATTATATTTAAAATACTTTTAGATGTCATTTACTATGATCTGCAGTGTGTGTGTATGTGTGTGCGTGTATCTGTATGTTGTATGTTTGCTAACTTCACTGAAGGTATCCTGATTTCAAATTACTAATTAACTGCTGATTTTAAAAGAGCAGTACCTCTGCATGACCTCAGAAAGTACCTAGAAAATAGTTTGACAATGTGCTCAAACTTGGAAGTAAGTCACTTTACCCATTTTAACCAGTGAGCAAC